TAAATCCCCACAGTGTTCGGTAATGTGTTTTCATTTAGACACAAAACAAGCAGATTAGCCTCCAGGCTCGCTGGGTTTCTGTAAATCTAAATGTAAAATAATGAGATTTTGTGATAAACACGCTTTAATGACAATGTGAGGCGTTAATCCTCCACAGCTGTTGGTGTCTGTCGGTCATGTCAGGTGGGTTTTCATAATGCATATCATTTAATTCATACAGCTCAACATCCCAAACAAACCAGTGCACTTGAAGGCATCAGGAGTTATTTTGTAAAGATAAAACATACCGTGGCTCATCTGGGTGGCTGTTGGGGTGGCGGTCTATATTAGCTGGTGGCGCCACTTGACAACAACATCACCATAAAATCCATTTGGTAGCTGTTCCAGAGCTTTTGATCGTATAACACCATCTTCCTCAGCAGATGGGGACTACCCGGTGGTCATGGAATCTCAACTTTTAAGGCAATATGGACAAGAAGTCTTTAATGTGCTTAAAAGAATATCAAAATTTGTGTTTCTACAATCCCCGACAATTCCACCTGCTGAGGAAGGTTGTGTGATTCAGCTCCAGAACGGCTAATAAATGGACCTTGCAGTGAGATTGTTTTGCCAACAACCATATTGGAATATTGGAAAACAACAAACCACGATGTTCACCATCTAGTATCTAACTCTGTCTGCCTACTGGTTGTTTGTCAGAGCTTTTTAGATCATTTAATGTTATAATAAATGATTGAAACAGTCATTTGATTCATTGGTAAGAGCTGTAATGAAGAAAAACAAGGAAATTCAGATTAAAAACTTTCACAAAAAGACTGAAACAAATGATAGAATATTGTGTTATCTTTGCTGCCGTAGATACCTAATGTCTGCTGACCATCACTGTAAACGAGAGACCCGTCTTTAATTGACCTGATTGATTAAATCCAGGTTGGGAACACTAGAAACACCCACTCACTCCTGCCACTAAAGAAGAAAACCCATACAGCTAATTAATGAGGGCCGACCGGCTCATTTGTATGCTTTGTGAGCACTAATTAAGATATGCAAAATATCCAGATGAAGCGCTGCCACAGCCGAGATTTATTTGTTAAGGGAGTCGTCGACACGGAGGAAGACGGATGGAGGACTCGTCCTCCGCCACCGCGTAGCATTAATCTGAGACTTCCTCGCGTCAATGGCTGGAAGTGCAGGACATTACGGGCGGATTCGTCTCGGTGACTTTGGCCGTTAAATATTCATACAAGCATGTGGTGACAGCGAGCAGCTGGACCTCACGTATGATGCAAAAGGACTGTAAGACCTGGAGCTCAGGAGAAGACTCGCTTACTTTATGTTCTCTTTCACGCGGACTAAATGTAAAAATGCATTTTTCAGCTTTTTTTGTGTGTATTTGGGCTCAAAACGTAGGTTGAGTTCATCGTAATGATTAAAAACATGAAGTAGATGCTAATAAAAGGGTTCACGGTGAGGTCTGAGGGTTATTCTCAGTTATTGGGACTCTGTTTTTAGAACGACACACAGCTTTTGATTCATTTTTCAATGCATTCAGCACTACAAATGAATTCCATTCACCTCCATTGAATCGTGTGTTAGAGACGGATTTCTTTTTAAATAATATTTTCTTCTTTATTAGAAATTTGCATTCATCACATCTCCAGAAACAAAACCAAATCAGTTATAATCCAAACAAAAAGAAGTGGACGTTACAAAACGGCAACATCACTGTTTACCCTCACGAATACGTTCCATTTACCTCCATTGAATCGTGTGTTAGAGACGGATTTCTTTTTAAATTATATTATATTTTTTAGAATCTGTATCTATCACATCTCACAAATAAAACAAACAGAAAAGCTCAGCCGTTATGTACTCAACATGTAGCGAACATCTTCCATGTTACTTTATATCAAAAGACACTAGTACTAGTAATAAATAACATTATTATCAACACGATGTAGCGTAACCAGGCTACGGAAACTCAATACGTTTTTGGTGAAAAACAAAGGTTGCATTGAACATCTGGTGAGATTTTTAATTATGTTTACTTACTTTGTGATAATTATTTCCCAATTTAAATCAAAACTTTGCCATTTTTAGACTATTTTGCTCAGACAAAGTTCAGTTTAGACATTTATGGTTTTGAATTTAATTTTGTTATAATAAAAAAAGACATATTTATACATATCAAAGTAACTGTGCTGACACTGGTATGACAGTACTTCCTGACAACATAACAATCAGACATGGATATTTAAAAAAAGAAAAGAACTATCTGCACAGCAGTATTATGTCATTTCGGGCAACCCCTTTTAAAACGTCCAGTACAGTAAAAATAGACGGAATAAAAAGCTATTCTGAAAACTAACTTTGCAACAAGAAATTGAAGAAGTCTACTTCCTCCCGTGTGGAAGGAGTGCATGTATGAGTGACAATAAACATCTTGAATACATCACCTTAGAAACCGTGTATACACAACTGTCTTACTTCAAACTTACCATTTAAAAACCCTCCTACACTCTAAGAAAACTATGTGCCCTAAAATATACAGTTTCATCTTCAACCCCTCATTGAGGAAGATGGGTTGAATATCACCAGAGGTACATATTTCCTACGTATTATCTGTGCACGTGAACGCATCGTGGGGCTTTTTTCTCAGTTGAGTAATACACTGTAAACTACTAATACTGCTGGTTTCTGTGTGTAGTAGTTTAGTGTAGTGATGATCACCTCAGGGCCTCTTGAGCAGTGTGAGAGTACTATCACACACACACACACACACACACACACACACACACACACACACACACAGTCCCAGAGCAGAGCTGGTTAGTGTCAGGTCGCTGATGGATGGAGGATGAGGTCAGTCCTGAGGGGGATCCAGACTCTCTGGAAAAGACCTGTTGTTCACTCTCACTGTCTGTGCTGCAGACCTCTGATGATCTCATCCATGCACACACACACGCACACACATACATGCACACACACATACACACACACACCACATGCACTCATCACATCCTGGGTGATCCCCTCTTAACGGAGCTCCATAACGTTTAGATGCTGATCACCAAACGGGGATGTGTTTCGGCTCCAAATCCACTTTTAAATCCAACAGTTTCATTTTGAAATCAAAGGCGTTTATTTTTCAACTGACTTGTGTTTTATTGTTTGCGTCACGTTTCCCTTAAAAGCTGCTTCTCATTGGTTGGGTTCATTTCAATGATCGTGAGCTCTGCAGCCTGAATCCTAGAAGAAGTTGTTTACACAGAGGCAATTTAAAGTGCTTTAAATATGCATCAGACAATAAGCCATAATAATAATAATAAACCGTTAATAATACACATTAAATGTAATGAAATACAAAGATAGCAAACCAGAAATATATATTAAGTGTAGTAATAAGTTGTATGTTGCCTCAAATGCAACAAAAGTGAAATAAAATTGCAGAAAGAGGAACTGAAAGGTGTTTAAAATATCTTGCAGACACATTTAAATGTGATCCTGATTTCCTGAAAGTGTGTTTTTATCAGAGCAGGTTGAACATGAAAAACACGTTCAGTCTTCAGTAACACAGTCAACCGTCTGGACGGGGCTTCCCCTGGTTTTACTTTGTGTCACCGCTTCCTTCTCAGATCGGTTTCTGTAATCAATGGTGATGATTAATTGTTGTATTTATTATTCATAAGACCTGCTGCCGGTGAGATACACTGCTCCTCAGGGACGCTTCTGCAGAGCATTAATGTACATTTAGGGTTCAACTGGAATAGAATAGACCTTTTGACTTCTAACAGCAGGAAACAAGTGGAGCGACTATTATTAACGTGGGCTGAGTTCCATTTAGTGTTCCAGGAAGTGAGTCAGCATGATCAACACCGAACACTATGAGAGCTTTAGATCATTAACGCTGTTTATTACACATGTGCTTTGCCTGCTTTATTGTTGAGTAGCTTTTAAAAGCTGTTGCTGGAAGAGTCAATTCCATTCAATGGTTCGTACGTTATCTTACGAAAAAGTTACGTCTCAGCAACACATTTCAACTCCAACTCGTCACTTGAATACAATCTTTTCAAAATAAACTTCTGTCTTCACAGGAAACAACTTTGTTAGGTTGAGACAACAAAAATACTTCATTAGGTTGAGAAAAATATCGTAAAATACTTAGGTTTAGAAAAAGATCGTAAAGTACTTAGGTTTAGAAAAAGATCGTAAAGTACTTAGTTAGGTTTAGAAAAAGATCGTAAAATACTTAGTTAGGTTTAGAAAAAGATCGTAAAATATTTAGGTTTAGAAAAAGATCGTACAATAATTAGGTTGAGAAAAAGATCGTAAAATACTTAGGTTGAGAAAAAGATCGTAAAATACTTTGTTCGGTTTTTAGGCTACATTTTAGAGAATCAAAAATAAAAATGAAAAGTAAACTCTATTTGACCTGACTTTTTAAAAACATTTGTGACTTCAATAAATTAATTTATTTGTGGTGTGTGTGTGTGAGTGACATTGTCATAAGTTTAAAGTTGAGAAGTTATTAAAGTCAACGGAAAATACAATAATACAAAACGTGTGTATACACGTGTATCATATTAAGCAGAAACACACACAAAGACTGCACAGGATTCAGCTGTGTGCAATTACACACACACACGCACACTAACTTTCCTGAGTTCTCATTTGTCTGTTCATACATGTGTTTAAAAGTGTTGCTCTGTAGTTACATTTACAGTAACTTTCTGTCTTACTCTCCTGCTGTCTGTTTGTCTCTCTCTCTCTCTCTCTCTCTCTCTCTCTCTCTCTCTCTCTCTCTCTCTGACGCTTCCCCCCTTTTCACTCCATTTTGGCACATGTTGCCACGGTAACCACAGCTTCTTTTTTGAGTGGTTTTTTTTTCGGGCCAAGTTGTCGTGGTGCAGTTTTTTTACGGCTCATATTGGGCTCCTTTATTTACGCACACATGCTGTCACGCAATCACACGCACACTAACAACCCTGCTCTTTTTCCAGATTACCCAGAGTGCCGCTGGCCTGAGGATCGTCCAATAGAGAGGGAGAACGAGGAAGACGCACGGTGATTGGAGGAGGAGGTGGAGAAAGGCCCCACCCAGCCTCGAGTGAAGCCCCTCCCCCCCTCTGAGGAAGTGCAGTGAGTAGCAGCGTTTATTATTTGGGGGGGGGGGGACTTGGTATCTGGGGAGGTCTTTTATTTTGAAATTCGTTCATGAAAACTTCCTGTTTGACTGCAGGAAAAATCTGCTCAGTTGTTTTCAGGTCAGAGCTTTTAATTTATTTCTTGGCTGGTGTAGTTGTACGTTAGCCGTTGCTAGCGTTAGCTTCACAGGAAGAAGAAACACCACGCTGCAAAGTTGTGTCTTCCTAGTGATGCTCCAAACTGATGGAGAAAAAGCACTTAAAGACTGGACAGTGAAATCATGCATCAGCCTGATTTAACCACCAGAAAGAATTGTGTAAAAGCTCCTCCGGTGGGCTGAAAGGTGACGTCTTTTCAGAGGTTGCTGAACTTCTGTTGGAAGTGCGTTTGAATGCCATTGTGGCATTCAGCACTTGCCACCAGGTCTCGAGTCGTGTTGGGTTTAATGGTTGGCCCTGCAGGATTTGCAGGGCTTGTGATCTGTGGAGGGAGCAGGAGGGAAGATGTGACTCCTCTGTTCCTTCAATGCAGGAAGTAAACAACTGGTGAGGGTGTGATGGTGCAGCAGTGGAAGCTCTTCTCTGTCATTTTGTCTGCGTGAAAAACCCAGATTTCATTTTCACCTGTAAAAGTGCGTTTTAAAACTAATAAATGATGCCGTGCAAGCAATCCGGAAGTGATAGCAAATGCTAGCAATGCTTTTAAAAGCATTTGAAAGCTGTTTTAAAAGTATCTTCAAGTGACGAAGGCCTCTTTTTCGTTGTCTTTGGCGTCACCTGTGGCGATTAGCGGTAAATGCAGGTGTGTGTTTTTGAATCTCACTTCCCAAAGATTGAAATAATGTTGTCTTTTTGCAGCGTCTCATACAACGGTTGGTATTTTAGCCCATTACATGAATACGGCCTTTTCAAAATAAAGTTCCGTCTTTACGGAAACGTCAGTCAGGTTCAGGAAAAGTTCGGGGTTTTGGGTTCAACTTAGTGGAAGTGTTACTTGAGTACGGAAGTCACGTTCAGCCTCGACAAAACTTTTATTTAAACAGAAATGGTGGTGCGTTGAACAACCTGTTGTGTTACGTGCAATTAAATACGACTGTGTCTGACTTAGTAAAACTGCAAATGCAAGAGAGCTTTCATCAGCGGGCCATAGACTCCAATCACCAATGTGTCGCCTCATTCTGCGATGGATAATGAGATAAGTCATTAATGTGTTGCTCCACATGGGCCAGGTAATGCAAATCACCTGCAGAGTCACGTATCAAGTGGAAACGTTTGAGCTCATCAGATGTGAGAATTAGCTGTTTTTCTTTGGGGTTTGAACAGTTTCTCTAATGAAAAATATGAATCATGAATCCTCCGAATGTCTGTCCTGCAGTAATTAACCAGTTAGTCAGAATGACACTTAAAACAAACAGTTTGCGGACCCTAAAAATCAGACCGGGTTTGAACCCCCGGGATCAACACAGATGGAGATGGGTGTTACTCGACTGAATGTCTGAATGTCTAACAGACTAACAGCTCAGTGCGGACACATCACTAGTTTCATTTTTAAACACAGGAAACCCCATAAAAACAGGAGATAGACTCCTTTACCAATGGCAGCAGACGAGTAGCCGCTTTTTTCTGGTGTTCGACATCACGAACACGCCAGAAAATAGTGTGAGTTAATTGTTTTTGTTACTTGTTCAGTTTCTTTCAAAATCTAAAACCAGAGTTGGTGATTGTTGGAACAGTGGATAGACGAAACAAAGCGTTTGTTTCTTTATTTTTATTCAGTTTGAAGTGTTGCGATGGTCAGCAAGGTCACATTTCTGTTTCTGTCAATGGAGTCCGGTGGCTTTGAGGAGAGCAAATATCTGCTGTTTCTTTTCACATCTAACTCTGTGAATTCAGGGTTTATCTCGACCAAACCAGTGTGAAAAGACTAACCGAGATGGTTTTATTGAGTTTTATTTTGTTTCTGTCGAGTTTGAATGAAGTTTGTTTTACAATGATCAGCGCGGTAAAGTCACCGTTTCCGTCAATGGAGTCCGGTGGCTTTGAGGAGAGGAAATAACGTCCGTTTCTTCTCAAATCTAACTCTGTGAATTAAGGTTTTATTTTTGACCAAACTACAGTGGAAAGACAAAACACTTCTGTTGACTCTGTGGAGTTTGAATACCGTGCGTCTTTCGACAGTCATTGAGGTAAAACGACTGTTTATGGAGTCTTATAGCTTTAAGGAGAGCTTTTTACATCTTACTTGGTGAATTAGGTGTTAATTTTGACCAAACCAGAGTTGGTGATTGTTGGAACAGGTGAAATACTGACAAAGATTATTTTGACGAGTTTCATTTTGTCTTTGTCGAGATTGAATGAAGTGTGTTTTTTACAATGATCGGCAAGGTGCAATTATCGTTTCTGTCAACGGAGCTTTGAGGAGGGCATATTAATTGTATGTTAATAATTTGTAATAATCGTTCAAATCCCTGCTGATTTTATTTATTATTCATTCACTTAAGCACCGGAAAAGGGGCGAAAATGAGTGTGTCCACCCGGGGGACGTGTTCCCATAATTGCAGATAAATACCTGTGACCAGAGTCATTTGTCCTGGAATGAATGCAGATTGTTGCCTTTCACACTGAAGACACATGCCAGATGTTTGTGGGGTTTTTTGTCCATAGTAACAGCAATAACAACATCCCTTTTTTCTCCTGTTGTATACGTGTTTCACCCAGAACAAGCTGCTGTATCAGAATGTGGGAGAAGCAGACAGAAAGTCAGAAAGTCTCTCGTATTTTGTAGTAAAGAGTGTAAAGACTGTAAAGCAAGCTGGCGTAAATCCCACAGATTTGTTCAGAGCCTCTGAGTCACTCAGAGGAGTTTTCTGATCAGACGCCTCAGAGGGGGAAAAATTTCAGGAAGGAAAAGAAACGTAGGACCAGATTACCAGACGATGATTAAAAGAAACAAAAGCAAAAACCGTGAAAAATGTGTAAACCAGCTTTACAATGTTTAGTTAAAAAGAACTGAATGTTTCAGAGCGGAGACTCCACAAGTTGTTCGCTCTGTTTTTACCCACATTAAACTTTGGCGTAGGTCGACGTCCATCCGAGAGAGGAACGTGAAATCAAATCTCGTCTTTTGGGCTCTTTTGTCCCTTCGGTGTCCTTCAGTCCATCGCCGAAGAAGGAAAAAAAGAGGACGAAAAACAAACAACAATTCAAGGCCTTCAGAGGTATTTACTCTGAATCCAGTCAGTGTGAGCTCTTACCTCTTCAGTTTGCACCGGGAGGTTTCGTTTTAAATGCATTTCATTTAAGGTAGAGGACAGTAACGAATACATGTGTTTTAGAAGCAGCGAAAGAGAAGCGACATTGTAAAGAAAAGAAAACAGGAGTCACACCTGGAAGGCTGAGAGAGATTTATGTTCAGGTGAGTAAGACAGAAAGTTGCTCGGGGGGGGGCAAAAAGTCAGAGAGACACTTTGAAAGATGTGACATTTCATCTCCAGAAATTGAGGTCTAAAAGGAGGTCTCTGCAGATTGTTATTTTGTAGAGAGAAGAGGTGCAGACGGAGGGAAAGAAAATCACATTCTGAGAGGGAAGTATTAAGAAAATGTGAGCAGAGTCGAGAGAAGATTTGATTTTAGGAAAAAGAAAAGAAACCTTCAAACATGTATATTCAATCAGATCCAACAGGGACGAGATCGGAGCAGAGAGTCTGAGCTGCTTCTTTTGAATCAAGTAGAAGAGTGTGTGTAAAACATTGTGGATCCTCAGCTGGAGACCAGCGCGCTCGGTTCAGCAGGTTCATTCAGTAACTCTTAAAACGTGGCAGCGTCCGAAGCCTCTGGTGCCCCCGCGGCGATAAAACCGAACCCACTTTGTAGTCCGAGCTGCAAAGACGATTGTGCAACTTGGGGGGAAAAAAAACACGCATTTGGGGGGGGGTTCCAACAAAACAGAGGATCTGCAGTTTGTCTGTTAGAAGTTTGAGTAATCACATCTGGAGCTGTCATGGAGGTCCTGTGCAGAATATTTGTTGTATGGATGAATGTTTCAGAGAAACAGACCGACAGTAGAGTTTGTTTCATGTTGAACGCTTCTACGGGACCAAAACCAGTGTTCTCCTCTGGTTGTATAGAAGTCTATGAGAAAATGACTCTACTTCTCTCTTGATTTATTCCCTCAGTAAACATTGTAAACATGAGTTTATGGTCTCAATCTCTAGTTTCAAGTCTTCTTCAATACAGCATGATGTTCATTTAGTACATTATGGTCCATTTAGAGTCAAACAGACCATAAAGCAGGGGATGCTTTAGGGCGGGGCTACGCGGTGATTGACAGGTCTCTACCAGAGACGTATACAGCGTCTCTACGTCACTCCTCCTCAGTCCAGATATGGTCACTTCTGTTCACTGAGATAAAAAGCATTTAGGCGCAAACAGACTTTAACAGAGTAAAATGTTTTGGATGAAATATCACAATTTCAAGCTTCACTTTAGTTGCTTTTTCTCTGACAGAAGTGGTCATCACACATGATGTGTTCAAGAACCGTCGGAAAGATGAAAATCTGTCGATAGTGACGTTTTTTACAGCTCCTGGTTGTGATAAACGCTGTAGTTTTGGAGTTTGTTTAAAGAAAACATGCTTTTTAATCCCGCCGGCGGGTTTTGTGGTTCTGAGAGTTTTAAGATGAAGCTTTATTGATCAGAAAATCAGGCAGAAACAAGAACAGAAAATAAGTGTATTAACAGCATAGAAACTATAAAAGTTCAATTAGACCCCAAAACAAATGCCAGCAGACAATACAAAACAGTATCCAAAGAAGTTGTGTATTAAAGATGCTGTTTGAAGATCAGGAACCGGAGGAAACACTCCGCTCTGCCTGATTCATATCACCAAAGATAAACATGATGTACGACTTGTTGGAGCTTTAAATCAGTGTAAATGTTGCAGCGCTTCCTATAAACCAAAACCGTGTTGGAAATATTCATTTTCTACGTGTGCAT